TCTTTTCAGCAGTAATATCAACAACCGATAGCAACAACAGTTAACATAACTACTCAAGTAGAGGCAAACGTAATCAGGTAACTAAAGATTGAATTAAATGCTTTGAGTCTTTGGAGACTGCAGTCCTTTTACATTGAAAGTTCAGCTGTCCTGGACAATGTCACACTTAGGTGAGACAAGGAGTATCCCTTTGATGTGGTAATAAAACAAAGAATAAGGTCAGTTTAACAGTCAGGCCCCGCGTTATCAGCTTCGGAATCAAAAGGTGCCAGTTTTATGGTCGGGATAGCACTTAGAGAAAGCAACTTTGACCCCTCCCGTTCTTCTCTGGGGAGGAGAAAGGAATTTAGGGTAGCTCCAAATTTATTCCATGTAAAATGCACAAATCCACACCGTTGTTCACTACAATATACAGGTACACATACATGCATACATGTGTAAATGTACACATTGTGATGGAGCATAGTGCAAAGGATGCTGGAAAAAATAAATAAGACCTATGACCTGAGGTAGGTGTATTGGTATACAGTATATACAATAGACCTATTTCCATGCATGCAGTAATGTTACAGCAAATATTGTGGGACATTTAAACAACATAACTAAAAACTGTAGTAATAAAGTTGACAGGAAACTCTCCAGAGGAAACAGAATTCAACTTTTAGCTTCTTAAAACATATTTAGACGACCCTGACGAAGCTCAGGATTGATCAGGAGGACGGCAGTTTCATTGTATGAACCTAGACTGTGTGTGAGACCTTTTGGGCGTGTAGAACACACAACATTCATTAACATTAGATCCTGACTAATCCTGTCAGCGTGTTGGGAGATTTAAATAATCGCTGCTGTGCCTCATGCGTAAATTCGCACTGCGTCTCTCAGACACACCTACCCCCAACCCCTCTGCTGGTAATCACAATGTTAATTTTTTGACCCATCTCGCATCCTCGCATCTTTAGCCTACATTCACTGATAAAAACATCAGTAATATCCACCTGAAATGTCATTAAATCATCTGAAATAACTAATAGAACTTCTAAATACAAAAGGAACACTGCAGAGTTCTGCTGCCCCCATGGTTTGTCTTCCACCAAGGATACACCAGTGTTTCCTCGCCAATAGCTCCTCCAGCAAGCCTCTCTCTCTCTCTCTCTCTCTCTCTCTCTCTCTCTCTCTCTCTCTCTCCTTCACCCCCAACCGGTCGAGGCAGATGGCCGCCCACCCTGAGCCATGGTTCTGCTCGAGGTTTCTGCCTCTTAAAAGGAAGTTTTTCCTTGCCTCTGTCGCCTAGTGCTGCTCTTGGTGGGAACTGTTGGGCTTCTGTAAAGAACATCACAGAGTACGGTCTAGACCTGCTCTTTTATGAAAAGCGCTGTGAGATAACTGTTGTTGTGATTTGGCGCTATATAAATAAAATTGAATTGAATTAAATACAAAAGGAACACTGTAGAGTTCTGCTGCCCCCATGGTTTGTCTTCCACCAAGGATACACCAGTGTTTCCTCGCCAATAGCTCCTCCAGCAAGCCTCCTCTCTTTGCTCCTCTAGATGCTTTTTAGGAATTGAGATGTCCTCCAAGATCTGAAATCGATTTCAACAGTCTGTAAATTATTCAGTAATTCCAGGTCTTTGTTGCATTGGCCTATCAGGATTGTGAATTTAACAAAGTAGTGAAATAAAATCTTTAAATGTTTACTAATGTTTTCAATGCTTTCCTCTCCTCAGCACCCCGACACCTTCCCATACCAGTAGACACAACCACAACAGAAGCGCCCACATCACCTTCCCCCCCGCCGCCCAACACCAGCACCACTTTCACCTCTGCCACAGAGAGAGGGGTCCCAGCTTCCACGTCCAGCAGCAACACGAGCACTGCGCTGAGCACTGCCGCAACCACCCAGGCCCTGTTGACCAGCCTGAGCAGCCCCACTGACAACACCACAGCGGCCCTGACGGAAGTCTCCTGGACGCAGTTCAACATCATCATCCTGGCCGTCATCATTCTGGTGGTGCTGCTGCTGCTGGGCTTTGTTGGAGGCGTATACACCTACCGGGAGTACCAGAACCGCAAGCTCAACGCTCCCTTCTGGACCATTGAACTGAAAGAGGACAACATCAGCTTCAGCAGCTACCACGACAGCATCCCCAACGCTGACGTGTCGGGCCTGCTGGAGGACGAGGCCAACGAGGTGGCGCCCAATGGCCAGCTGGCACTCACCACGCAGGGCAACTGCTACAAAGCTTAGCACGCCATCCATCCCTAGTCTAGATACCTAAATTTACAGATGACACAAAGCTGCTGGAAAGTACCAAATCCAAAGCTCCTTCATATATGACTGCTTGTTGTTACCCTGCTGGTCTGTGGCACTTCACAACGTTTGGCAAACTGACAGTGAGATCAAGTAGATGTGATTTAAAGATATGGAAAAGAGACGCAGACTTTCCACTTGAAACATTTTCCCTTTTTGATTATGATTTTGTGTGGAATGGGCGATCAGTGAAATGGGTCCAAAGAATAAAGCGTTTTATTTGAGTTGTGCCTGCAGAGGGCGCTGTTGTGCAGAATAGTTAGGTAATTGGCATGGCGTGAGACAGGTGCAAAGCTTACACCTGTTTGCTGAAACAATGATCCTGACACGGGTTAGTGGAGGAGCCTAGCATTTCAGATCTTTTTAAAATGGACTTTAGACTGTTTAAGTTATAATTGGATCGCTTTCACAGTGATCTTAAACTGAGACAATGATTGTTAAATGAATTTTTATTCAGTTCTTATTTATTGGTTGACTTTTCATTCTCGGGAGAAATGCTGCACATGTATGATGTGTTTATTCATGGTGTTTTATCTTACGTGCTGTCGAATGGTAATTTGAATTGGCCCGTATGTTTTCATGTATAGTTTGTGTGTTTTGGATAGAGTCCTAAGGGGAGGTGAAAGCTGCTGGTACAAGTATTTTAATGACCTCATCTTTATAGCTTCCTGTCTTTAGTTAAAGTGTGCCGCCTCACCTGAAGTATCTACGAGGAGTGTTTATTTTAAAGAAACTACACCTTACTGTTTATAAACTCTCACCACTTGGCGCTACTGCAGGGTAGTGAATCATACTAGACTCACGTAAATGGCCATAAACTACTTGTAATCTAATCTGCTCTTTGCTGCCTACCTCAGCAAAAGTTGAACAAACCAATTATAAAATGTTTCGTATTTAGTAGAGGTTGGGTCCTGTGAGATAAGACCGTTTAATGTCTAAAAGATAATGTTGCTATAGAGTGAAACCAGCCTGCACATGAAAAAATCTCCTCACCCTACTGGTCATTGTTACTATTAACAATCAAATTGCATCAGCTAAAACAGTGAGTGGCTTCACACCTGATCCTGAAAATGGATCCCCTGTTTTCTGTGTTGTTTAGGCTACCATTGATTGGGTGCGCTTCATTTTACCACGGTGAATGAGTAAAGCTAATTATGGAACTAACTCCTCAGGTACTGGCTCTTTCCCTAATGTGATCACTGTAAATATGATTATTGTACAGATGAATGTGAATAGTAGCACTATTATTGTACAGGTAGAAATACTGTGTGTGTCACTCAACAAGCCTCCAACCTTTCACTCTCCTGGGTGTGATGTTGCAGTCAGCCCACAGCTTTTTGTATTGTTATTTTTATTTCTTATTCTCAGTGGACTTTGCCATATAAACAGCTGCAGGACTAAAATGCACCACCTACAACTCAAAACAAAGAATAAAGTGATGTAAATAATACCCTAAAGCTCAACTCTCAAATAAAAATGGGTTTACTGTTGTCTTTGTGTTTCTCACATACCTTTAATTTAAATCACTGCCGACACTGAAGACATACATGCTTGGAATAATGTTATGAGTCTGTTGCAGTTTTTCCACAAAAAATCTTCCAAACTAGTTGTGATACCACAAACTCTTGCTTAAATGTTCACATGTTAACTGAGATTTAAATTGAGCACAGAGAAACTTCAGCCTTCTTGTGTCAGACTATGGTTCATACATCATTCTGCACAGTGAAACTTGTTCTGCAATTATTATATAATTTCAAATATAAAACAATAGCATTTGGCATCTAGCATGGCAGCCTCTGCCATCAGTGTGTGAATGTGACATGTAGTGTAAAGCGCTGGTTGAAGAATGCAAAGGCGTTATACAAGTACAGTCCATTTTCCATTTACATCACAGTGACGTAGCAATAAGAAACACATTTTTGAATTAGTGATGTATTGCTGTATGTCATTGTGTCTCATCCATATTGATTCTGTATTCATAATTTCTCCCATGTTTGCATTTGCTCACTTCTCTACAGCAGCCTGTTCATCACTCTGCCCCTTATCACCCATCCTCAGTCGCTGCTGCAGGCTCTCCACATTATTGATGTCATATGAAATTAAAAATGAGGTTCCCTTCAAGTGCACGGAGGATGGGTTTTATAGAGGTGAACACATATCTCTACGTAATGCAAAGGGATTATGTAGAAATAAGAATACATTACTATGTTTGATTTGAAATATATTTGACAAATGATCAGTTATAGAGGCTGCAAGGTTTGTTTGATGGAATGTGATGATGGAATGATTCATGCAGAGTATAATTAATGTTTAATTACAGCCTAGTTGAATCTTCTGTATGGAAAGGCCATGGTGGGGATTTTAACTGTAAAGCTTGAACTATCCTGTGATTTGTTACTTGTTAGTTATGGTTGTCTTTGGCAGTGTGATAAATGCTTCTCCAAACTCAAAGCCATCTGAAAACAGGGGAAGTAGAGATTTGAGAAAGAAAGATTTGACAGATCACGAGTTTTTGAGTGTAGATGTGTGTGTGGCTCTTGCCCCAGTTCCTTTTTGACAGTTTTGTATGTTTGTTATATAAGATGTTGTAATGTCTATTGCTTGCCTACAAAACATAATTGACGTATTCATTGTGACTGGGGCCTCTCCATTGATGCAGTTCGACCTTAATATTACAAAATATTCTCTTGAAATATATGTTGACTAGACACTTTTGCTGTAGTGGCTTGTATTACGCCACACTGAAGTTTTATTGACTTCTTACAGCTACAGAGGAATGCGACATTTTCACTTGGTAAGTGACAGAGCAGAAATGGGAAGTAAATATGCAGGCAGGGCCAGTTAAAGGACTTTGATGTGAATGTTGACTTACTACTTTCGTCATCAGAGACATGCCAATGCAGCTGGCGGTATTGGTATGTTGTGTATTGTGTCTGCTGAAGATGAAACGTTAGTAGACAATGGGGGGGAAAAATCTCAGAAAGAGGAAGTAGGTGTTTGAGTCTCGACACTCAGTGAAACTCGCTTAAATCGAGACTCCCTGCCAGTGCAATGGTTTTCAACGTGGGCGTCGGGCGACACCACGCTTAAATGGAGATGTTGGATGGGAAACGGCTGCTCATCCACGAATGGGAAGCCGGCGGCATGGAGGAAGACGGCTGCTGCTGCTGCTGCGGAGTGGAGGCAGGACTGCACCGGCAAAACGCACTGATTCAACTTCTCCGCCAGAAAGAGACACGACTACAGCGAATGGCCCGGTTTTTAGTTGCGGCACTTCTTTTACTTTTTTCAGTCGCTCTGGCTTTACTGCTCATGGTTTTGCTTGGAGGAAGAAGTCATCAGTCATCGGACGGCCAGGTAGGCTACATTTCCTACATGAAAAGCCCAGACCTGCAGGGCGCTGATGTTGCCAGCGGGTGACCAAATTAATGTTGTTTTGAAATGACTGAAATGAAGTATTACTTCTAATAATAAATGGCTAGTCTGTCAGAATAACGGCGAGCAACTGGTCGATAGGTGTTTTAATTTGCGGTTAAACAAACATGCAGGCCTAACGTTACACGGTCAGAATCTTTGACTGTTATAGGCAAGACTTTCTAAGGTCAAGGTTTATTTCCTGGTGCAGTGTGTTTACGAAAGTTTACTTAAATTTGGTCCTAAGTGCTCTGGCAAAGTAAGTCCAATGACGTGTTATAAGAAAAAAAAACCCTGCTTCATAACTTTGTAGCTGCAGGGCCTCAAAACGCTCGTGTTTGCACCACAGCTCAAAGGTGACAACATGCAGCCAGATCAAGAAACACTAATAACACACTGATAGTGTGTCTTGGCTGCCTAGTGTTGTTATGCCACCTCAAATTATTAAACTAAAACAATTGCATCTGTATGTTTACAAATAATAGCCTACTCTTATTAACTAGGCTAAGAATTGGCAGTAAAAGGAAAAGAAGCGTCTAGTACCCACAAACACAGCTATGTGACACTTTACAGTACAGGAGGCTACACAAAATTGTGAGTAGTTACTTAGGAACGAATCGGGAACAACTTGATAAGTAATGCATTATGTTATTAGGTAGCTGACTCAGAATGGAGGACTATGTATAGCCTAACAGATGATGATTATCATCAGAGTTCATAAAGTTAGAAATATATTCACAGATTCGAACTTCCAGGATCAATATCTCGTAAGCAAAACGTGTTTAAAACACAAACAACGCCTCTTTACTATCGTAGTTAAGTAGTTCATACTTAGTTCATAGAAATAAATTATATATATATATATCTACAAACTAAGTGTTGTAGTATCACCAGCAGGATATCAGTGATGTGTGAGGTGATTTTGGAGACACTACAGCTTAGTTATTAATTAATTAATTATTGAATATTAAAAATAGGCCTACCTAATATTAGGTATGCAAAAGTATTTGTGTTGTAGTATAACCAGTAGTATATCATGAATGTGTAAGGTGATTTTAGGGGCACTACATTGTATAAGTGTGAAGTTATTGAATATTTCTGCAGTATGTGTTTTCGGCGTTGCAATTTGTAGACGGTCCCTGCGCACTCGTCTCACAGCCGGCTGCACGTAGAGACCAGTGTTATTTGAGCCGCTCGTTGGACGACTCATTTAGGTGAAAATGTACTTGTAGCTTCTTGTCTACTTAACTACGATAGTAAAGAGGCGTTGTTTGTGTTTTAAACACGTTTTGCTTACGAGCTATTGATCCCGGAAGTTCGAATCTGTGAATATATTTCTAACTTTACCGAACTCATCATCAGTAGGCCTGACTGGGAGAGACTACAGGCTAATTATTTAGCCTAATCGTCAGGTATTGATTACTTAAGAAAACCCCTGATTCACTATGAACCACCTGATGAGCCGCACAAAACCAGCAAGGACTCATTCATTACTCATGACTTAATCATGAGTTAGCCTACTCTTTTTATGGGCCCTCAGTGACACTTCATGCTAAGTAGTTACTAAGAAGTAGCACCTTTTTAGTACTAGTTTTTACTGCTGAATTTAAAAACCCTGTAGCTACTTATCATAAGCATGACAATAGTAGTAACTAGGCCTACCATGCATCAATAGTTTATTCATTAATTATCAGGTCCTGGTTCCTCACTCGTTTCATAGGAACTGCTCACACTGTACTGTGTTGTTACTAAGTTGTAAATTAACATTTGTAAAAATAAATAAAAAAACAGATTTGATGAGTTTCAGTGACAGGATGGTCTGTGACATGTGGCAGATAACTAACATATGGAGAGACACTTCCACCTCTGTTCCTTTCACAGGAGAGTAAAACATATTCTTAATCACCTCATTGGCATGGGCTGTCAGGATGTGGCTTTAATGATTTCCATTTAGCTGGCCAAATCCAGTTAGAGTAGTATTTTCATCAGCCTTTATCTAACAGCATCTAATGGGTTATGAAGCATTACATTTTTTTCTAGCAGCAACAAGGCATCTGGTGACCAATGTCTCAAACTCAGCTTGGGTTTACTAGAACAGTGTTAGCCATGATCATGATATGGTTCCATTGACTACTAATACTTAGTTTGTTCCCATAAATATTATTAGATTATACATTATAATAATAATATATAACTATTCTACTAGCTACTTCAATGTGGTTACACTGTACAATGTAGTAGCAATATATAAATAAACTGTTTAGTAATGTGTTAAAATATTATAATAGACTGTATAATTAGCAATTGCCTAAACTGGGTATAGTTTATATTTTAGAATGAAGTAAAACAATCCATTATGTAGTAGCCATTACTACTGCAGTTGCAACTGCATTTAGTGTAGTATTATTTTGTCTGTGCTATTTTAAGTTTTACTATTACAATTTATCATAACTATTAGTTAATAAAAAAATGTGTTTGTTTACTTACAGCCCAAGATGCAGCCTCACCGCCTTTCGTCAGGTAAATATCTTGTACAATAATCTAGTGAGACTGAAGGCTATGTTGACTTCTGGTTGGGATAGAAAAAATGGTCTATTAAAGCAATCATTCATCAATGTGTTAAACAAGACTTTTTGAATCTCTCTGGTAGACACCATCATCAAACATCAACAACTTAAAGACGACAAGAATCCAAGCGCCATGCTAACAGGTAAAACACACATTGCATAGATTACATGTAAACGTGCATTAGTGAAAGTCTGCCAGGATATGGAAGAGTTGTGAATCATTTCACACGGACTGGTGATTTTCAGTGATGCACTGTATTACTCACAGTTGACCTCACTAGATTTTTTTCCATTGCCCAAAGCACAGTGGATTAACAGAAAGACATGAGAACAAAATTTGCTTTTTTATGATCAATGAAAAACAATGACATTTCTTTCCTAGCTGTAACACTACTGTGTTAACTTTAGGGAACTGTTTGGTGGGTGTGTTCTGTTTTGTTTTTCTTTACTTGTTTCCTGTCCTCCTTTACTACTACCTATTTATCCCAGTCAGGATAAGTAAAAGGGAAGGAGTGGGTAGAATGGTAAAACTGAAGGAATAAAGGAATAGTTTGAGAAAGGACAAATGAAGGAATTGGGACATATATAGCCTAGGATATACAGATGGATTAAGGCTTGTGGATATTCAGACGTATATATGGGTTACAAATTGATGAATAAACAACCAAAAGGGTTGTATTAAGATCAACAGACTTCTTCCCATTATCATTCATTTGGTGTTTCGATGATGATGGTGGTGGAGTGTGCTTTCTAACTCTCTCTCACTCCACAATCTCAACTAGCATAATGTCAGGATTGTATAGGCCATATAATAATGATGCACATTTCAATCAAGTCACAAAGGAAAGGAAGAGGTTAAGTAAGAAAAGTTGGAAGCACTTTAAGGGTTGTAAAATGTACACAGCAATACTTCCTGATGACAAGTACTGAAAGTCATGGCTCTAGATTATAAGGTAAAATAGACTCACTGACATCAAGAAGAGTGTCTGCAGGATTTCATTCAAACCACAGAATACATAAGCAGGTTTCACAGATTAGGTCCTCCGCTCTGCTAGAGCATGTGCTAATCAGTCAAACAGGCACTGTGGAGTTTGGTTCTAAAAACAACTTGCACACGTTCAGCTTTTAATGGCAAATAATTGCCCACCTGTGCTTTAGCATGTTCCCAGCTTTACTTAAATATGTGACATATTTCTTGTTATCTAGAAATGATGCAGAAGAGGAAACATTCATAATCAAATGTTTGCTCTTATTTTCAGCTCCTAAAGGCAAATCGAACAATGGGACATATCTTGAATGGGAGAGTGAGAGTGGAAATGCCTTCTGTCAGGGAGGTTTCAACTACTCCAACGGGGACCTAGTGGTGCCCAGAAATGGCATCTACAGAGTCTTCCTGCAGATCACCTATGAGAGTAAAGACCTCAACTGTGACCATGTTAACCTGAAACTCCACAACAAGGTGTTTTTAATCCAGGATAATTACAATGTCGATGTACTTCTCCTGTCATCAGTTGACACAGTGATTTGCGGCAAGGGACAGTGGAGTAAATCCCTCTATACTGCCGGCTTGTTTTCCCTGGAGGCTAACAGCAGACTACATGTGATATCATCACAACCCGATCTTATTGTTGGGAACGAACACCAGGTGTTCTTCGGTGCTGAACTTCTGCATCAGTAATCTGGTGAGACAGTTAGACTCACAGAAATCTGATTTTGAGGTTGTTTGCACTTTCAACCCCATGGAAACCTACAGGAAGATACTAGATTCATGGGTTTTATTTTCTATTACAGCTCATGAAAAGTGTAAACCCACTGATGAATTTGCAACAGCAAGAAGCTACTAATATCTGCTCAACTGCAGGTTTGCTTTATCTCACTGAAGTTATAAGCTGCATTGTTTTTAACATCATTAACCACTCGCAGAGACATCCTGCTGCCTTAACAATGATTTAATTATGATATACATTTCTAAAGAGCGTGTTTATTTCATTCAATTACATCCCTAACATTTGTAACGCTACAGCCTTTTGGCAAAATAGGCATTGTCAACTGTATTCAATATGCAGTAACGTATAACTCAGTTTGGAATAAAAATAAGCTGTTTGTTATTATCTTCAGTGCAAAAACAAGTTGATTAATTGTCAGAAAATAAATACACAATTTTGAAAAAATCTTCCATACGTGAGGAATTTAATAGGATCATATTCATCTTTGTGGTTTGGACAAAGCAAGCAATTTAAAGACATTAACTAGATTCTGAACATAGTGCTGAGCCTTTTTTAATTGTTAGATCATCAATTAGATCAATTAACCAAAAGAATCTGATCTGGTACCCTGAATATTACACTAGACGAACAGAAAAGTTTTCTTCCCTTGGGAGAATGAAAGGGCTCATGATAACCTGCTTAATAATTGTTAATATTATTGATTACAGGTAGATAGTGCTGTTATTGTACGGTCTTAGCATTAGCTGTTTTGTCTGTTCTTTTTGACTTAATTAGAAATTTCAGCTTTTTTGTTGCAGTGAAATTTTCATCTTTTGAAAGGATTGCATAATATGGTAGCCCTTGTTGGAAGTAGCAAGTCTTTTTCACTGTTTTAACCAGGTCACATGTTTGTGATAGCTGTTACTGAAAGTGGTTAACATTAGGTCAGTGTTAAACCCTGTGGGGGAAAAAAAATAATAAAGGGATATCAATTGGTAACATGTTGGGCATACCATTATGTTAGCAGGCATGAAGCATCTTCATTAAACATAGGCCTGTGAAGATAGGAGGAGATACGACAGAATGACTGGATTGCAATGAGATTTAAAAAGCAACATCCTGTGAAAAGATTTGTTCGTAGAAAACTTTGACAACACTTTGTAACACTAGTCAAGTGATTGGTTATTTTTAGAACCATGTATATTTTTAACCCAAAAGCTGAATGTGATTCGTGTTGAAGGACAACATTAGTCATTTAGTACACAGCCTTACAGTAACTTGAAGTAACAGTCCAGATTTAGTGAAAAACTCTCTGTGGATGGCTGAATTACTTTGTTATTATTTGTACTTGCTTTATAATGCGTTGCCATAGCCAGTGGGTTTGACAAGGAATGCTTCAAGAGCAGTAAACATGGTGGAGTTACCGGAAAACTATCACACATAAACCCAGCCCACGCCCACGCAGTCCTGCTGCCATGATAACATTTTTGTGTTATGTGTAAACATGTTATAGTTTATCAAATAATAAAGATTGTTCCCCAACACAGTTTTTGTACATGTTATGTCCATGTAAGCAGTTGAATCACACGCTGTCAGTCTAAATGTGTAACAAAGTCAAATATGACAGTTTCTCCAAGCCAAGGAAGGAAGCTTTGTACACTATTTTACACCTGTTGTGAGACGGACCTGTAAACCAGAATGTGCTGGAAATGTATAATAGTTGAAAGTATGTGCAGTGTGGGGAACACCGCAGTTTTATCAGCTCTTTGTGATATGTGATGGCTCGGATGCTTGAGAAATGTCAGAATACTCTGCTGTAGATCCAGTGATGGATTAAGGGATCATTATATCAATTATGTATTGGTGTGTGGATGAATTTGACTTTTCTCACAATGGGGCTCACTGTAAGTTGATAAAAATATATGGAAGTGGTTTTATTTTTTACATGCAAGGTGCTGTTGTACAAGAAGGTGCATTGTGCATTATTTAATTCATTGCTTGCTGGGCACCCATTACTCTGTTGGTACTATGCAAGTTGACTTTTTCCTACTTTTAAAGAAATTATCATGATTTATGGAGTTTTATATATACACGTGTGTTATGCAGACTGTTTAATAAAAGTTAATAAATAAAACTGTATTGACAAAACAATGAGCAGTTTCCATCTGTCAGCGGGGAGGAAACATTTTGGTTCATTTTTGTCCTACCCCACTTTTCCATATCCCAGATGTTTTTCATACAAGCTCACTGGGGATTTTGGCCATCCCTCAGCCCCTACATTTAAAAAATAGGGGAGCTTATCTCTAGCCAGCAATGAGTATAAGTTTTGATTGAGATAAGGGGGAAGCAAAGTATTAGTCAGAGTAAAATAAATGACTTCATTATTTTCATGTTTATGGTCTCTTGTCCTGACAATTAATTCTCTGTTCACCAAAGGAAGATTCATATTGTTTAGGGCACCTATTGAAGGTGACACAACCCGGTTACGGCAATAGCAGTAGTACTTTAGGGAACACAGACAGTTACTGGATGAATTGTGGGAGACCCATGACCACTTAGTCATCAAAGTGAATCATATTCAAGAATTAGTTTTCTTACTTTGCCCCACCTATAGTGGCTACTGATTGTGCTTTTTCTCATTGACTATTCCTCAGAGTTGTTGTTGTCTTTCCAAGAAGCCTATTTGGCAAGAGATTTAAAGTATCTTCAAAGCTGGGGTTTGGAAAACTAGATGGAGACAGATTTTGAAAGTATCCAACTAAATAAATCCCACCCCCTCCAAAGCCACTCTCCCATAACACATGTTCATGTGCAGTGAGTGCATAGACAGAGTGCCTATGGGATGATGCGTTCTCTGGAATGCTGCTGAGTGCGGTTTTGTTGCTCAGTCACCTGGCATTGCTCCCCGCCATCATTCCCCGCCGGGCCCCCCAGGCCCCCCGCCCCAGTTTCAGCAAAATCAGTGTATAAAGTTGAGCTTTTGTACAGTAATCAGTTGTGCCCGGTCCCAGAAACACAATTTGTCAGCAGCATCATAAAAATTAAGAAAGCTTTTCATTGGATGCTAAATTAATACAGGCCCACAAGGGCAGGATGATTTATCAACATTTGGAAATCGTTTTACTGGAAATGACACACTCTAAAATGTCTTCAACAATAGGCCTACCTACAAAACAGCATTTTTTGTCATTGATGGGCCAGATCCTGCCATTTGACTAGCCTATAGGCCTAGTGCAAGGCACAGGCCTATCATATAAAACATAGGCTGAACCTCAATTTTGATTTCATGGGAATGCGATATTTATATTATATATTTACAATATGTTTCTCTAAAATCACACTGAGCAGACAATGCATCTTTGATACTCTCTTGTCTTTATTTGTGTGTTTGGTATTTTTTTGGTGTTGATCATAGCCTACTTAACAACTTTTACATTTGTAACATTAGGGGTGCAGTAGCTCAGTCTGTGGGGACTTGGTTTGGAACCCAAAGGGTTGCCGGCTTGAGTCCAGCACGGACCAACTTCTCCCCGGGTGCAGCGTAATTAATATTGATGTTTTCTTCATGCAGTATTGTCAGAATTCTGAGGGGGAATCCAGAAGCAGATCGGACAAGAGGGAGAGTTTAAACAGTTTATTTAGACAATAGTGAAATTTGCAATTGGGGAAAGCTGGCAGGCGAGAGTGGAGAAAGTCCAGGGGGTTGATTCAGAGAGAGACTGGCTGGTGGGCTTCAAGGGGGGTTGAATGCAAACACTGGCTTTCAGGTAGCGTAGGCTGAACAGGATGGGTTTCCAGGACAGCGTTTCCAGGGAAGATTCTCAATACATCATGACAGTCCAGCAGTGACTAGATGTATGGCTGCTCCTTAAGTAGGCGTACTACAGGTGATTAGATGCGGAGCAGGTGAGGTGAGAACCTCAGAACCAGGTGTGTGAGAAGCCAGAGATAGGCACGCCCACTGAGCACTGCCAGGAGAGTGACACAGAAGACCACAAGACAAAACAAAAACACCCCAAGCACCCAGCATGTAAACCAGTCAGAATGTGAAATTTAACATTTTCAGTCAGTAGTGAAGACAAAAGGAGAGCAAATATATGAATAGAATCAATTCCATTGTGAACTATAAACCATTTTTAATGGACATAAAATACAAATATATTATGAATATTTACAAATAAATCATTTAAAATATATATTTAAAACTAAATGTAAAAGTAAACACATTTATTCACATAAAAAAGATTGCGCCTGTGCAAGTGGTAACAGCTATGCCAAGCATGGGCCCACAGACAAGGATGTCCAGCGTACTGAGTTTGCCCCAAGGCCTCTGCAGCTCTCTGGAAACCACGCCTGATAGAGCTGTCACCAATGATCCACACTGTGACTATGGGAAGCAAATAAATAAGTGTAATAAATGCTTCAGGTAATCATATAAAGCCAACTATAAAAGCAAGTTCAGGTTTTTATGCTGACGATACTACTATGTCACATCTGCAGGCAACCATTACAATGTGTAGGCTGCTTCTGCTGAATGAGTGAAGCTAAAGCAGGTTTGGGCTTGGCTAGGACCTGGAGGGGAGAACTCCTGGAAAAACTACTGGAAATTGCTGCTGGAAAAGGTGTTTTCTAGGCCAGTAGGGGGCAGTCTTCCTTCTGATCCTAATAATAAGATCCCAATGTCGCAGTGATGGGGACACTGTGCTGTGGGAAATGCTGTCCGTTAAACCAAGGTCCTAACTCATTATGGTCATTAAAGTTTCCATGGCACTTGTCGCAAAGAGTAGGGGGTTCCCCAGTGTCCTGGCAAATTCTCAACCTGGCTTTCTCCATCTGGCCACCTAATCTTCCCCCAGAGTAATTGCCTCAATGGATGATACCCAGCCCTGGGTGCACTTTCATTCATATTTCATCAGCTGATGATTTACTCACTGAAGAACGAATGAACCAATGATTTTGTCTTGCCTTTTGGGTGAATGTTGTGTGCTTGGTGTGTTTTGTCTGTCTCTCTCTGTTGTGTTCCTTTTCTATGCTCTCCCTGGAATTGGTTGGAATGGTTTCTGGCTCCCCTGGATGGCAGTTGCACACCTGATCATGAGTCTCCACTCATGCACCTGCCCTGCATCCCCGCCAATCACCACACACTATATAAGACCAGGTCCATTGGCCAGCAAGTCTCATGAGTATCCCACATGCCAGCCAACTCTTTCTCTCTCTCTGTCATGTGTCTGCTAGTCTTGTGACCATTTGCCTGCCTGCCTGTTTAACCCTGACATTCACTATTTTCAGGAAGTCACTCTCTGCTCTTTGGATCCCCAGCACATTCGTTATTTAGCAGTTACTTACTGTTGTCTTTTACCCTCTGCTCTAGTCTGCTTCTGGGAACTGTTCAAACTTCAACAAGCTAAATAGCTAATGTTAGCATTATGTAACATACCATTAGATTATTAATAGTTACTTATTAAAAGTAACGTTATAAAAAAGTGACAAATAAAGCTCCTAACCAAAGCTAACCTCCTCAGGAGGAGGTTTACTTCAAGTCTGACTTTCTCTCCGATTGCTCTCCTCCAGTGGAACCTGAAGCAGCTGTCTGACACACCATTTCATTTCTTTATTCATACTGTCGTTCATTATCCATACATGATCACTTTTATGATCAATCTGTCAACAATGTAATTACAGAGACATCGCCAGAAATCATGGATTCATCCTTAGAATAAAATTGTTAGCTTACACTGTCCTACTTTGTAACACTGTGACTCTGGGCATTAAGGCAGCTGTCCACGTGTCAACAGTTGCACTGGAACATTTAACATGAACATTTAACATGGGCTACATTACGGCAGTCACTGTTTAAATCAAACATATCTGTAAAAGCTGGAACTGATCAATAAACAATCATCTGTCATGCTGTGATTAGTCGCACAGATGGAACATTCCCATCATCATGTTGGAGGTGACGATGAGGATGATTGTGGTGCAGCTGAAACAATCATAATCTTATGGTCTTAATGTGTTTTATAGTATTTCATTAAATGCGAAAGGAGTCACAATTTAAATGTAAACTAGAACCTAGACACATTTTCAACTGCAAATCACCAAAATCATTATTACTAGGTCAAAATGTGACTTTACAATCACAGGTCTAGGAGTTAACTCTTGTGACCATTTGCCAACTCTTTCTCTCTCTCTGTCATGTGTCTGCTAGTCTTGTGACCATTTGCCTGCCTGCCTGTTTAACCCTGATATTCACTATGTTCAGGAAGTCACTCTCTGCTCTTTGGATCCCCAGCACATTCTTTATTTAGCACTTACTGTTGTCTTTTACCCTCTGCTCTAGTCTGCTTCTGGGAACTGTTCAAACTTCTGACAGCCGTCTAAAGTCAATTACAGTTTATGCTGTGTGGCCATGACCTCAACAAGAACCAATCACTGAGAGAAAGAAACATCATGTACCAGATGAAAAAGTGCCTTTCTTTTTCAATGGTCAGATAAGAAGAGAAGATCTCGCACAGCCAGCGGTGTGGGGTATAATAAGCTTTATAGTAAGCCATTATGCACCGACACATCTGCTCCGAGAACTCCATGTTTACAAATTTCTTGTTTGGTATAATTCCTTAATAGGCTAAAAAAAAGCATCAGTCATTGTTTAAATCAAACAAATCTGTAAAAGCTGGAACTGATCAATAAACAATCATCTGTGATACTGTGACGATGAGGATGATTGTGGTGCAGCTGAAACAATCATAATCTTATCGTCTTAATGTGTTTTACAGTATTTCATTAAATGCGAAAGGAGTCACAATTTAAATGTAAACTAGAACCTAGACACATTTTCAACTGCAAATCACCAAAATCATTATTACTAGGTCAAAATGTGACTTTACAATCACAGGTCCAGGAGTTAACTCTGTCTAAATATGTTTGATCATTGTTTTAATCTTCAGTTATTGCCACCAGCATTTTGTCCTGTCAGGTTACAGCTGAATATATATTTAGGCCTAATAGGCTATTTGTAATAAGCTATAGGAGAATTTCAGCAGTTGACATTTCATTACGGAAATTCCACTCTGGTAAATGCTCATTGAATGGACTACGTTCAATAAAATATTATATTGTTAACTTAGTGACTTCTTCCTCCCCTCCAG